GCAGAACGGACGTTCTGGAGTCGTCTTCAACCTCCAGACCGCGTTTTCTTCTGCGGACCTAGAACGGACGGTCTGACCTCAGACCGGACGTTCTGGTCCTCGGATTTTCGCCAAAACACACAAACATGCACGATTCACTATGGGTATAACACTAAACTCATAAAACTTCATGCACAACACGAATCAAACATCAATTTCGCACATAATCACTCAAAACCCAAAACCCCATGTCTAACAGACTTCCGAATTAAACTCGAATTCACTCACCTCGGGTTAGATTCACGCGTTGGGTGATGTATGGGAAGCTTGGTGGTGTTCCTCTGCGTCTGTAGAAGCAAGTAACGTCGTGAGTCACTCGGATTTGAGGGAGAATTCGGCTCTGAGGTTGGAGAAGAATGAAGAGGAAGAAGGTGTCTAAATAAGGTCCGAATTGGTCGAATTATTGACTTAAATCTGGACCCAGGCGTGGAGCAAATCGTGCTTAGGGTCAAAAGGTCGGGTTTTCTGGTCGGATTAGTGCATTTGGGTCGCTTTCAGGTTGGTCCGGACGAAAATCATCGCTTGGTCGTTGCCGACAGTCTGGTCCGTCCGTTCTGTGGTCTGGAACGGACGTTCCGGACTGCGCGAGCGGTCCGTCCGTTCTGGACAACCCAGAACATTTTGAAATGTGAAATGGGTGGATGTAAATTACATCATGTATCTCTACCGTTTATGACCTATAAGAATAAGATCACAATATATATTTTCTTTTTTACCGAAAATATAATTGTAAATATTTACTAAGTCGTTTTGACTTTGTAGACTTTTCATAGTGGTAAAATTGACTATGTTACTATATTTTTATTCTGTTTTATATTTATTTTTTTTGTTTGTACTCTTCATTTTGTAATATTTACATAAATTTTAAAAATGTTTAATTGTTTTATTTATACCCTTCCATTTATGAATGTTATATGTGAGTTTGAACGACCTTAATAATTTTGTATACTTATAGTATTGATTCTATACATAACATGTTTGTTTTTTTGTAGATGTCATTGGTTATCTTTCTCAAGTAAAGAAAGATTTGGAAATTAAGAAAAATAGTCTAATTAAGCATTTTCTCCTCTAGGGGCTATGAAAAGAGGGGAGATCGTAGAGAGAGATTTAGATTTTGCAACTTTTGTAGTGTTTTTTTTATTGTGATTTTTTATGTGAAGCGACCATGCAAAATGAATTTATGAAGAACACACCATATATAGGCACAAAAATATGTAAACATTATATTAATAAATACATTTTTAAAGACAGGGTGGATGCATGGATGCTAGTAAGAATAAATGTATTTAGAAAAATTAGGGATATAATAATTAAGGGAATTAAATACATTTTAAAGATATTGAATAAAATAGAGATGATGATGATAATAGAGGTAGATAATTCTGCATTAGGATGTGAGTTAACCCTAAGTACTATCTCCGTGCACATCGCGCGGAATACAAATACGTATAAATTTTAAAAAATTTATTATTCGTTTTCACGGAATATTCTGCCGGTAAAAGCGACGGCCTAACCGTCGCAATGTAGTCGATATGATCGACGAAAACTCCGTCGTTTTTCCATGGTAAACGCGACGAAAATTCCGTCGTTCAGTCGTCACTTTTACCGACGGAATCTCCGTCGTAATGCCGTCGTATGTTGTGACGGATCTTCTATCGCACACTAGGGTTAAGGAGGATTGAGTTGGTGACAACACCGCAAAATGCTTTATTAAGAAAAAGGGATTATGAAAAAATATAACAAAAGACACTCAATAATTTATTGAGAAATTGATATACAGTTGGATTGTGAATAGGAAAAAATGAGGATTCTTATATATAAAAGTAGAGGGATAGACACGTGTCCAATTAACTTTTTAAAAAAAGAGGATTTCTCTCTACGTTGGAGTAATAAATAATGGTGACATATACATTATACATGTATATATAAATATCCTATACGATTGTGCTGAATAATTTATTCGATAGTCACATCATACCATAGGATAGAATAAATAATGAATGCCAGATACATTATATATATATATATATATATATATATATATATATACCGGTGGTAGCTAAGGAACCGATAGGAAGGCCGCAGCAGCAGCAGCAGGCGACATGTAAATTGACTCAAATTCTGGCATGTTACATTGTGATGATTTTTAAAAAGTTTGAAGGTAATTACAAAGGTAGTTTGTGTGACAACCCAGAGTACCGTAGGAGGGCGGGGAGTGATCGCCGGTGCAGAGGCACAGAAAAGGGACGGCTCCTAACGAGCTTCTGGGTAGGGGGTATAGGGATGAATCGAACACACTGGAATGAGAGAGATCCGAGGGCTGTATAGGTATGGGACTATACAGTCTAAGATAACATAAAAAGAATTAGTTGGGCTATTCATAGCGACAAGGTGCACATACTTTTTTGGTTGACTATCCCGAGAGAACTCCAAAGTTAAGCGTACTGACTCTGGAGCAATCTTAGGATGGGTGACCTACTGGGAAGTGTCTCGGTATGCGTGCGAGTGAGGACAAAACATTCTGAAAGATCTCGGGTTGCTGTGTAAGGCCAGTTTCGACAATTCGTAGCGGTCGCGGGTCGTTACAGATGGTATCAGAGCCGGTACTCTCCCAGTACAGTGTGGTTCGAGGACGAACCAGACGGAAGCTGGTGGGCCTATGACAACCCAGAGTACCGTAGGAGGGCGGGGTGTGATCGCCGGTGCAGAGGCACGGACAAGGGGCGGCTCCTGACGAGCTTCTGGGTAGAGGGTACAGGGATGAATCGAACACACTGGAATGAGAGATCCGAAGGCTGTATAGGTATGGGACTATACAGTCTAAGATAATATAAAAAGAATTAGTTGGGCTACTCATAGCAACAAAGTGTACCTACCTTTTTGGTTGACTATCACGAGAGAACTCTAAAGTTAAGCGTGCTGACTCTGGAGCAATCTTAGGATGAGTGACCTACTGGAAAGTGTCTCGGTATGCGTACGTGTGAGGACAAAATATGCTGAAAGATCTCGGGTTGCTGTGTGAGGTCAATTTCGATAATTCGTAGCGGTCGCGGGTCGTTACAGATTGAATCTGAATATAATATATATATATAAGTATAGTTTTACGGGTGAATGATACTTATAATAATGAGAATATTTTTTTATGAATTATGATTTTTTAATCAATTAATTAATAAATAATAATAATTTTTAAATTAAAACATAGGATGATACAAATCTGTTTAATTTTCTATTCATTAGTTCCTTTGAACATGACACGTGTAAGAATATAATTATTATAGAAAAATTGATAGAATAGAGGTACATTCATCCAACTATTCTAATGTAGCAGATTAATTATCCATACATTAACACTGGGGGGTTTATCTGTTTTACCCTTAATATGCTACATATACTTCTAACACTACCCTTCTGTAAATAAAAAAAAATTCCTACTTCTATTATACCCTCTAAAATATTTGATGACCAAAATGCCCTTATGTTATTATTTTAGATTTAATTTTTTTAATGTAAAAACTTAGGGTTTCTCTCTCCTCTCTCCTCCCCTTATTTCGGTCTCTCTCTTCGAACGCAGGTTTCTCTCTCTTACTCGATCTCTCTCTCTCTTCTGAAACTTGCTTCTTCTTCTTTAAAATTCAGTAAAATCAAAGCTGAATCTTTCATAAATCAGAGAGAAACTTGAAAAAAGGTAAGACATTGTTGAAATCCCAGTCTTTTTTATGCACATTTTCGGATCTTGAAGCCTACATGGTGTTTTCCCTCGGGTACAGGGACATAGAACTTGATTTGCAGGTCGTCGAGCGTAGAAACGGAGTTCAGATCGTGTCACAGAGTTCTGACTCGACCGATCAACTCGCGAAGGACGAATCGGCATAAGGTAAACTAACTCGACCGAGTCAAGAGTTGGCTCGGTCCGAGTCAAAGTTTCGAAACCCTACTTACCCCGCTCAGCCGTTTTCTTCCCCATTTTTTTCCCTTTTCGCGAAAAAACCACTCTTCACTCGGTCTCTATCACCCCGAGTCGCCTCCACCGATTTCGCAGTCTAAATCCGTACGGTATGTGTCCCCTCACTTATATTTTGTAGCTTATTGACGATTCATACCTATTTCGCCAAGATTTACGCATATTTATTCCGGAATTGCGAAAGATTTTTGGGTTGAGAGCGAGATTTGTGATTTTCACAAAATCAGTAAGTTTTTATGAGTTTTTGAGTGATTAGGACACAGATCTTTGCACATACATGCCTATTCTTGATTACCCATGAGTTTTTTCGGTTGATTTCGGCGATTTCGGGGGTTTTGAGCGCAGCTTTTCGTCTGGCAGAACGAACAGCGTTCTGACTCGGTCCGAGTCAAAGTTTTGACTCGACCGAAGCGAAACGCGGAATTCCAATGACGAACACGTGTTGACTCAGTCCGAGTCACATGTTGACTCGACCGAGGCAACATCCATTACATTGACAGCACGTTCTGACTCGACCGAGGCTGCGTCTTTATTGCTACGAATTGTCGAAACTGCCCTCACACAGAAAGCCCACTTACTTGTGGAATGACAAGCATGTTCTTATTTATCTGCTGGATAAAATAAATGGAATGCGAGGTATGCTTTACGTGGAGACTGAAGAGGCACATGTGAAAGGTGAATATGAGCAAAATGTTGAAGCGCAACCTGTAATTCATGCTGATGGAAGTGTTGTTGGAGGAAATGGAAGACAGAATATGGTAGATTATGAGGATTGTGTTTTATTGAGCCCTAATTTTAAGAGTAAAGTTGGGAATAATAATGTGGCTGAAGTTATACATCTTTCTGATAGTGAACATTCAAGTGATTGTGGAGAAGTTAGAGTGACTGAATGTGATGGTGTTAGGGCTGATGATGGTGGTGGTGATTGAATATAACAATTGGACATGAGTTCAGCAATAAAGAAGCAGCACAAGAATATGTTCGAAAGGGTGCAGCAATGGCTCGTTTCAGTTATAGTACACTGAAGTCTGATAAGAAATTGTGGGAAATCAGATGTAAATTTGCTGGATCGGGGTGTAATTGGAAGTTACGTACGACCTTGATCTCGAACTCGAAACGTTGGAGTGTAAGAAAACACAATCCTATTCATAGTTGCAAGCCCGTATCAGAATCAAGTGAAGCTATGAAAGGTACAAAGAAATTGGTTAGAGATTATTTGAAGGAAGAATTTCCCGGTAAACTCGATTGTACTCCTACAGCAAATGAAATAATAGACCGTGTGAAATCCAAATACGGCACAACTGTAACGTATTTGACAGCATTACGAGGCAAACACATAGCTGAAAGTGAGATTCGAGGTGATCCTATTGAGCATTTTAGGAAACTTCCCGGGTGGTTGTATATGCTGCAGAAGAGAAACCCCGAAACAATTGTAAGTCTTGAGTTGGAGAAAGATGAGAAAAGCTTCAAATACCTCTTCATTGCATTGGGTGCAGCGGTAAGAGGATGGAACTACTTGCGTAAAGTTGTTGCTATTGATGCAACATTTTTGACAGGTCAGTACAAAGGCACATTGGTCGTTGCAACTGCACAAGACGGTGACCACCACCAATATCCGTTAGCATGGGGTATAATCGACAGAGAGAAAGATGCATCATGGAGGTGGTTTATGGAAAAGTTAACAATGGCAATCCCAGATGGACCTGATGTCGTCGTGATATCTGATCGACACAGAAGCATAATAAAGGCCGTTAGAGAAGTGTACAAAGAAGCTGGCCACGGATTTTGTGCGAGGTAGAGAAGTGTACAAAGAAGCTGGCCACGGATTTTGTGCGAGG